AAAAAGCTTCCAGCAAACAAAAGCCCAGGACCAGACGGCTTCACAGGAGAGTTTTACCAAACATTCAAGAAAGAACTAAAACCTATCCTCCTCAGACTACTACAAAAAATTCAAGAGGAAGGAACACTTCCAAGCTCATTCTATGAAGCCAGCATCACCCTAATACCAAAACCAGGTAAAGACAACACAATAAAAGAGAATTACAGGCCAATATCCCTCATGAACATACATGCCAAAATCCTCAACAAAATCAGCAAATCGGATCCAGCAGTACATCAGAAAGATCATACACCATGACCAAGTAGGATTTATCCCAGGGATGCAAGGATGGTTCAATATCCGAAAATCAATAAATGTGATACATCACATAAACAAATTGAAAGAAAAAAACCACATGGTCATATCAATTGATGCAGAAAAAGCATTTGACAAAACCCAACACCCATTTTGGATAAAAACTCTCAGCAAGGTGGGAGTAGAAGGATCATACCTCAACATAATAAAAGCCATATATGACAGGCCCACAGCCAACATCATACTCAATGGACAAAATCTTACACCATTTCCCCTAAGGACAGGAATAAAACAAGGATGCCCACTCTCACCACTCCTGTTCAACATAGTACTGGAAGTATTAGCCATTGCAATTAGACAAGAAGAAGAAATAAAGGGCATCCAAACTGGAAAAGAGGAAGTAAAACTGTCCTTATTTGCAGACAACATGATATACATACAAAACCCCAGAGACTCCATCATAAAACTACTAGACTTAATACATGAATTTGGCAATGTAGCAGGAGACAAAATTAACCCCAAGAAATCTGAGGCATTTCTATACACCAATAGTGAACTTTCAGAAAGAGAGACTAAAAAAACAATCCCATTCACCATTGCACCAAAAAAATTAAGCTACCTAGGAATAAACTTAACTAAAGAGGTAAAAGACCTCTACTCAGAAAACTACAGGACATTGAAAAAAGAGATGGAGGAAGACATAAACAGATGGAAGAACATACAGTGTTCATGGATTGGTAGACTCAACATCATTAAAATGTCCATACTACCCAAAGCAATCTATAAATTCAACGCACTTCCCATTAAAATACCAACGGCATACTTCAGATATCTAGAACGAACTCTCCAAAAATTCATCTGGAATAAAAAAAGACCCTGAATAGGTGCAGCAATCCTGAGAAAGAACAAAGTAGGTGGGATCTCAATACCAGATATCAAGCTGTATTACAAAGCCACTGTTCTCAAAACTGCCTGGTACTGGCACAAGAACAGACATATAGATCAATGGAATAAAATAGAGCGCCCAGAAATCGGCCCGAACCAATATGCTCAATTAATATTTGACACAGGAGGCAAGAATATACAATGGAGTCAAGATAGTCTCTTTAATAAATGGTGTTGGGAAAATTGGACAGATACATGCAAGAAAATGAAACTAGACCTCCAACTTATACCATACAGAAAAATAAACTCAAAATGGATAAAGGACTTAAATGTACGATGAGAAACCATAAAAATTCTAGAAGAATCCAAAGGCAACAAAATCTCAGACATATCCCGAAGCAATTTCTTCACTGAAACAGCTCCTAGGGCACTTGAAACTAAAGAGAAAATGAATGAATGGGACTACATCAAAATAAAAAGCTTCTGCACAGCAAAAGAAACCATCAACAAAACAACAAGAAAACCCACTGTGTGGGAAAACATATTTGCCAATGTAATATCTGATAAGGGCCTAATCTCTAAAATTTATAGGGAACTCATACAACTTAACAAAAGGAAGATAAACAATCCAATCAAAAAATGCACAAAGGATCTAAATAGACACCTTTCAAAAGATGACATTCAGAAAGCCAAGAGACATATGTAAACATGCTCAAAGTCACTAATCATCCGAGAGATGCAAATCAAAACAACAATAAGGTACCATCTCACACCTGTCAGAATGGCTATCATCAACAAATCAACAAACGACAAGTGCTGGAGAGGATGTGGAGAAAAAGGAACACTCGTGCACTGCTGGTGGGAATGCAGACTGTCGTAGCCACTATGAAGACAGTATGGAGTTTCCTCAGAAAACTAAAAATGGAACTCCCATTTGACCCTGTGATCCCACTTCTAGGAATATATCCCAAGAAACCAGAAACACCAATCAGAAAGGATATATGCACCCATATATTCATAGCAGCATAATTTACCATCGCTAAGATCTGGAAACAGCCTAAGTGCCCATCAGTAGATGAATGGATTAGAAAACTGTGGTACATCTACGCGATGGAATACTATGCTGCTGTAAAAAAGAAGGAACTCTTACCATTTGCAATGGCATGGATGGAACTGGAGAGCATTATGCTAAGTGAAATAAGCCAGTCAGTGAAGGAAAAATACCACAGGATCTCACTCACTCATGGATAATAGAGACCATGATAAACTTATGAACAAAAATAGATACAGAGGCAGAGCTGCCTCAAACAGACTGTCAAACTACAGCGGGAAGGTCGGGAAGGGTAGAGGGGCAGAAGGTGGGGTAAGAGATCAACTGAAGGACTTGTATGCATGCACATAAGCATAACCAATGGACATAAGACACTGGGGGGTAAGGGAGGCCAGCGGATTGTCAAGGGTGGGGGGAAAAAGGAGACATATGTAATACCCTTTGTAATACTTTAAGCAATAAAAAAACAAACAAAAAAAACCCTCCAGACTTCCAGCTGACCCTCGGCGGGCCACACCCTAGGAGCAATGAACACACCCTAGGAAAAGAGGTATCCCTCAGGAGTAAAGAGAAAACTGAATAGAGCAGTCCTTACTGGAACTTAAACCAGTCTTCACTGGAATCAAACTGACAGCCATCCAGAAGAACACTTAAGCCCTCAAATTTTCACCCACAATTTCTGTCATTAAAATATAAGATATGTAGGGAGCTAAGAGGGGTGAGGGAATGGGAGACATCTGTAATACTGTCAACAATAAAATATAAAAGGTTCAGAAATAAAGTAAAATCTATACATATAGAATAATGTTATAAAACAGAACTCAATGACTTAAGAGAAAAAAATGTATACAAGTAATCCAGATATCAGAACTTTTTGGTAGGGATTCTAAAGTTACTATGGTTAATATAGCTAATAAATTTAAAAATAAAACATTTTTTTAGAGAGAAATGAAAAATTTCAGAATTGAGAAATATTTTTAAAGCAATTCAAGAGAAAGACCCCATGACCTAATAATTTCAAAATATATAAGCAAAAAGGAAATTTTAATATTATTTTAATATGTATAACCTTTTAAGTATTGATGACACCTAGTTGAAAATGTCATACCATCTTCAACAACTAATAGAATAAGTAGGTAAAAAATAGTAAGAACATAGGAGATTTGGAAAACATGAGGTTTGGCCTAGGTGACATTCATAGGACACCACAAGCAAATGCTACAGAATACAATCTTACATATGCACATGGAACATTTATCAAAATACTCTATAAACCAGCAATAAACAATTCTCAAAATTTCACACTGACATTATAAAGTGTATGCTCTTATTCAAGGAAATTAAAATAGAAAGCAACAACAGAATATTTTGGATAACCCAGAGTAGCCTGTAAGAGACTAATTTATTAGAATATTTGTGGTGTATACTTCAAAAATTATTGAGATTTTGCATTCTTCAGCTTCAATGGTGCTTTTTTATAATAAAAAATGTTTTGAGATGTCACCTACTCTAAAGGACTCTCAAATCCATTGAGAAACAAAAAAGATTGAAAAAAATACACTGCTGAATAAATATATGTGTATAAAAAGAGGGGGCACTAGAGAGATACCCACCAAACTTCTAATGATTTTTATTTCTGGGAGGAAGAGTAGAGAAACTGAGTTAAGAATGTGAGGGTAAGTGAAGAATGGGGAACTTTTATAATAATTCTAAATAGCCTAAGTCTTCTATACAGCATTCCTCAGTGAGTCGGGCAACGTTTTTACCTAAGCAATCCTATATAATAAAGAGGCGATATGCAAACTGACCATCACACCCTCGCACAACATGGCCGACCCCATGTGGTCAAAAGATGGCCACCAGAAGATTGCCAGCAGGGGAGGGCAGTTGTGGGCAACCAGTCCTGCAGGGGAGGGAAGTTAGGGGTGACCAGGCTGGCAGGGGAGGGAGGACAGTTGGGGGGGACCGGGCCTAGAGCGGGTGGCAATTAGGGGTGACCGGGCCAGTAGAGGAGGGCCATTGGGGGCGACGAGGCTGGCAGGGGAGGGCAGTTGGGGGCGATCGGGCTGGCAGGGGAGCAGTTAGGTGTTGATCGGGCTGGCAGGGGAGTGGTTAGAGGGTGATCAGGCTGGCAGGCAGAAGTGGTTAGGGGCAATCAGGCAGGCAGGCAGGCGAGCGGTTGGGAGCCAGCAGTCCCGGATTGTGAGATCCCTGTGGGATCAGGCCTAAACCAGCAGTCAGGCATCCCCCGAGGGGTCCCTGGTGAGGGTGCAGGCTGGGCTGAGGGACACCCCCCCCCGCAGTGCATGAATTTCATGCACCGGGCCTCTAGTGTTTGAAATAACTAACGACTTTGTATGCATCCAGAATGAAGATGCATGCCTATGCTGTCCCTTTGAATACCTTTGACACACCATCATAGACCCCTGGAGTTATACTTACCAAGGTTTAAACAACAGAATGAGAAACAAGGAATACTGAGTATCACAGAATTGGATGATAATCTAGAATAAAATAAATTGATCATCTAGTTTTTAAATACCACTACTGGCTTTGAGATCTAGGAAAATATATTTTTATGTGAATTAACTCTCAAGTTTAACCAGCCATGTTATTATATAATTAGGAGATTACCACCTGGTTATGATGATATCCTACAATGTTTTACTTGGAAGATTATGCCCAGTGAAAAGGTTGCAAGTGTGTCTTCACTGAAACAATTTAATAATGCTTTTTTTCCCCCCAGAAAACCTTAATTTCTAACCTTTAAAATTGTAGTGTAAATCTCTTTTCACAGTTTCAACGATATCCTTCACTACAACACTTTTGGAAGGCACAAAAGCCAACTCCCACATGCCAGAAGAAGGGACTTTTCTGAGGAACATAGGCAACTCATCAACAGGCTGCGGAGAGTAACTGAAGGGCCCAGTCTTCTCTCTATACGAAAACCTGCGTGTTAACAGAAGCACGCCAACAAACAGGACAGTCAGGATGAGCTCCGCAACCAGAGCAGTGCACTGCCGGCGCTAGGAGAGGAAAAGGATACTGTTAGCGGAAGGGCATATTAACTTTGCAAATGACTGGTTATTTGATATTAACAGGCTCTTCATAAAAGAAGATACAGATGGCAAAAAAAAAAAAAAGGCTCAGTATACTAGTACACTAGCCGCAGTTACTGGACTGTCTGTTTCTCTCTCCTATGAGTCATTCTGGTGCTCTTTCACTCTCTGAGGACCCCACATATGTGCAAGAGATAACCCTGCTCCAGAACTGGAAAACTGCCACAGTATGAATGAAATGCAGTGACTGGGCTGTCAGATGATTTCTGTGATCATCTCTTAGATGTTGCAATCCTATCTAATAAAGAGGGAATATGCATATTGACCATCACTCCACCACAAAGATGGTGGTGCCCAGTCCTCTCAGTCCCGAGAGGGCGGCCGCTGAGAGCGGGCAGCCTGAGAGGCCTGAAGGAATGCTTGCTTTGTCACCATGGCGATGAGGCAAGTGTTCCACCCTGGCCATGGAGGGCCTCTGGGCAGTGGGCACCGAGCGGCCAGGGAGGTGGGGGGGGGGAGAGAAACACTTGCATTGTCGCCCCAGTGACAAGGCAAGCGATCCTCACCTGGCCACAGAGGGCCTCTGGCTGGGGAGGCCAGTTGGGGGCCATGAGGCCAGCAGGGGAGGGCATTTGGGGGCAATCAGGCCAGCAGAGGGGGGGCAGTTGGGAACAAGCAGGCCAGTGTGAGGGGTCAGTTGGGAACGAGCAGGCTGGTGGGGGGGCAGTTGGGGGTGAGCAGGCCAGTAGGCAGAGTGGTTAGGGGCGATCGGGCAGGCAGGCAGGTGAGCAGTTAGGAGCCAGTGGTCCCAGATTGTGAGAGGGATGTCCAACTGCCGGTTTAGGCCCAATCCCACAGGGACATCCCCTGGCAGTCGGACATTCCCCAAGGGGTCCCAGATTGGAGAGGGTGCAGGCCAGGCTGAGGGACACCCCGCCTCCGTGCACAAATTTCATGCACCGGGCCACTAGTAATCTTATAAATAGCTCAACTTACCTTTAAAGTAAAATTCTTCCACAGAAGAACCATAAATTTGTTCAACCCCAACAAATCCATTCTTCAACTCTAAGAAGGAAGTAAAGTTTTTTTTAAAATAAGATTATCTAAAAAAAGGTAAATTTTAGACAATTACTTAAATTTGAAATACTTAATTTTCTCATCAGTCTTAAAGGATGACAACAGAAACAAAAAGCATTTGAAATATTTGAGAAGTTGTTTCTCCTTACATTTTTCTTAAAATATATTTTTATTGATTTCAGAGAGGAGAGGGATAGAAAGATAGGAACATCAATGATGAGAAAGAATCATTGAGCGGCTGCCCCCTACTGGGGATCGAGCCCGCAACCCAGGCATGTGCCCTTGACTGGAATCGAACCTGGGACCCTTCAGTCCACAGGCCGACGCTCTATCCACTGAGCAAAACCAGCTACGGCTCTCCTTACAGTTTTAATTTACTCAGTATCTATTGAGCTTCTAATAATGTACAAAACTTCAAGCACAAGAAATGATCAGTGAGTTACTGATGCAAGTTTCCAAGTAAATTTGTCCAGTAGCTTTTCCAATTCTTATAAAAATACTAATTCAGAAACAATACAAAGCAAATCATCATCATAGAAAAAAAGCAAATAACAAGAACAAACATAAAATAACATCACACCTGTACGCCCAACATGCCACTCAGCAATTTGTGAGATTGGAAATACCTACATTAACATTACTAATGGGAGCAGATTCATTCTTACATTTAATGAATATTTTCTGAATATCTACTATGTGCCACGTTAAGTGTGGGTGCACAATGGGAAACAAAACAAAGAAACTCTTCCCTCATGGTGTGGGTGGGTGGCACGGTAGGTTATTACAACCCAGATATAAGAACAGACTGTCTAGATTGATTTCCTAGCTCTACCAGTAACTGTGTGACCTTGAACACTTGACTCCAATTTTGGGGGGCTACCAGGAAGAGAGCTGAAATTCGGGGCCAAGAAGGGAAGGCATATCTTATAAATAAGAATGAATGTGAAGGGCACTGGCCAAATTTCAAGTAATTTCGATCTTTGATACCAGATGAAGGTGATCCCAGATCACAAATGCCTACAAGTGCCTGGCATAAAAAAGAACTCTACTCTAGAGAAAAATAATACCATCCTAAAATCAACTATTCCTACAAGCAATTTTTCTGAATCTGGGCCAAAATTATCAGAAGCAAAATTTAAAATAACTATGCTTACCATTTTCTTTATATTGAATTTATTGAGGTGACACTGGTTAATAAAATTATACAGGTTTCAGGCACACAATACTACAACACATCATCTATACACTGTATTTTGTGTTCACCACCCCAAGTCAAGTCTTCAGCCATCACCATTTATCCCCCAATATATACCCTCCTCCTCCCATGCCCCCAGCTCTCCACCCCACCACTGGAAATGCCCACACTGTTGTTCATGTCTGAGTTTTTTTTCTTTTTTTCGCTCAATCCTTCCACCATCACCCCCCACCAACTCCCCAATAGTTCTCAGCTACTGTGGAAAGCAGTATGTGGAGTGACCTCAAAAAGTTAAAAATGGCCAAAACCGGTTTGGCTCAGTGGATAGAGCGTCGGTCTGTGGACTGAAGGGTCCCAGGTTCAATTCCGGTCAAGGGCATGTACCTTGGTTGCGGGCATAACCCCAGTAGGAGATGTGCAGGAGGCAGCTGATCGATGTTTCTCTCTCATCGATGTTTCTAACTCTCTATCTCTCTCCCTTCCTCTCTGTAAAAAATCAATAAAATATATTTAAAAAAAAAAAGTTAAAAATGGAACTGCCTTATGACCCAGCAATTCCACTTCTAGGACTTTATCCCAAAAACCCAAAACACTAATTAGAAAGAATATATGCATTCCTAAGTTCATGCAACATTACTTGCTATACACAAGATTTGGAAGCAGCCCAAGTGCTCATCATGGATGAATGAAAAAAAATCTGTGGTACAGCCCTGACTGGTAGCTCAGTGGTTAGAGCATTGTCCTGTGCACCAAAGGGTCGAATGTTCGATTCCTGGTCAAGAGCACATACCTAGGTTGCAGGTTCAGTCCCTAGTTAGGATGTGTGTGGTAAACAATCAGTTGATGTATTTCCCTCACTTGGATGCTTCTCTTTCTCTCTCGCTCTTTTTCTCTCCCTTCCTCCCTTCTACTCTCTCTAAAATCAATGGAAAAAATATCCTCAGGTGGTCTACTAGCAACAATCCATAGACAAGACACCATTATGAAAGCCCCACAGCGTGGCTGAGCTGAGTGGGTGGCCCCATCTGGCCAAGGAGCTCAGTGGGCAGTTCTGATTGATTGGGGTCCACAGTCAGAGAGCCCAAGGCCATAGAGCCTGTTTCATGACCCAACCTAAGCAGGCTAGCAAATTCATTTGACCATTATGGAATACAGTATGGAGATTCCTCAAAAAATTAAAAACAGATCTACCAATGACGCAGCAATTCCACTTGCAGCATATATAACTGAAGGTTAAAGTTATCTCAAAAAGTCATCTGCACTCACACGGCCATGTTCACTGCAGCGTTATTTACATTAGCCAAGCAGGGAAAGCCTATGTGGAATATCAATCAGCCATTGAAGGGAAATGCTGTCATTTTCAACAACATGTATAATCCTTGAGGGCATTATGCTAAGTGAAATAAGTCAGACAGAGAAAGACAAATGTGTGATATCATTTACAGGAGGAATATAAAAGACTGAATTCATAGAAACAGAACATAGACTGGCAGTTGCCAGGGGTGGGGAACATGGGTGAAAGTGGTAAAAAAGTGCTAACTTCCTGTTATAAGATTAATAAATAATGGTGAGTATAGTTAATTATACTATATTGTGTGTTTAAAAGTTGCCAAGGAAGTAAATCTAAAAGTTCTCATCACACACAAAAAATTGTAACTATGTGAGGAATATATGTGTTAAATTTATTTTGGAAATCATCTTGTAATATATACATACCTCAAATCATTCCATTGTATACCTTAAATTTATACAATATTATATGTCAACCAGAGGCCTGGTGCACAAATCCGTGCATGCGGTTGGGGGTGAAGGACCGCAGGAGGTTGGCCGGCCACAGGAGGTTGGCTGTGGGAGTGCACTGACCACCAGGGGGCAGCTCCTACGTTAAGCTCCCTGGTGGTCAGTACGCATCATAGCGACCAGTCGTGCTGGTCATTCGGTCATAACGGTCGCTTAGGCTTTTAAATATATCTATTATATCTATTAAATCTGGGGGGAAATATAGTAAAAAGTACAGGAAACATTTTAAAAAATGGATTACAGTCCTTAAGAGACACCTCAACGACAGAAGATACACAGATAACAAATAAGTATAAAAAAAAATGCTCTATATCAGCGGTCACCAACCAGTGGTCCACGGACCACTGGTGGCCCATGAGGTCCGAAAAGTTGGCAACTGCTGCTCTATATCATATGTCATCAAGGAAATGAAAATTAAAACAACAAGATACCACGTCACAACTATCAGAATGGCCAAAATCTAAAGCCCTGACATCAATGCTGGCAAATATTTGGAGCAACAGAAGCTCTCATTCATTGCTGGTGGGACTGTAACCTGTATAGCCACTTGGGAAGACAGGTTAATGGTTTCCTATAAAACTAAACAAACTCTTACCACACAGTCTGGCAAACATGCTCCTTGGTATTTACCCAAAGGAGTTGAAAACTTATGTCCATATAAAACCTGCACAGGGATGCTTATAACATCTTCAGTCATAGTTGCCAAAACTTATAGGCAATCAAGATGTTCCTCAGCAGGTGATGGATGAATAACTGTGGTCCATCCGGACAGTGAAATATTACTCAGCACTAAAAAGAAATGAGCTGGATATAAAAAATGGCAGTAGAGTAAGCCGATGTTACACAAACATGCTCCCAGGACAAAACTGGAATTACAACTAAAATACAAAAAAACCTTCCAGAATAATCAACTGAAGACTGCCTAGAGAGAACCCTGATAATCAGGGACTAAAAGTGGAGACCACATAGAGACTGGTAGGAGGGACAGATGTGCGAAAGGGCTGGCCAGTTCCCACAAACAGCAGCTAAAGTTCCGGAGAGGCATCTCAGCTCTGGGGGGTTGCCACTGAGAACTCTGGGGTCTAATCCCCAAGCTGGGCCCCCCAACAGAGAGCACCGGAACTGAGAAAGGTGCCCACATAACATTTGGCTGTGAAAAGCAGCGGGGTTGCTGTCTGCCAGGGAGAGATGACTGGAAATTCAGGCACCCTCTTAAATGACCAACACACAAAATTCTGTGTGCAAACATTCACCTTGTGCTCCAGCAGAGGGAGGGCAGAGAAGACTGGAGCTGTGTGAGCAGAAGCCAGGGTTGGGGGCTCTGGAGTTAGAGCTCAGAAGGCAGATGCCCCAGTTTCCTATGCTGAGTCATTCCTTCACACTGCAGAGATCATTTTTCTCACCCTGACATGGCCTATCCAGGGGGTCTTACCTGGGGGAGAGACAGTCAACCTACTGGAAAACAACTTGCCCCATGGTGTGGAGTTTCTGAGGCTCACTAAGAAACTGAGACTAACAATTAGCTTCCAGGCAGAAGCAACTGCCCCACTCTGTTGGCAGAACTCACACCGTACCTGTGGATGATTGCCTGAAAGCTACTCAAGACTAAATCAAATCAGTCTGCAGGCAGAGGCGGGCTCTGGAGGCCTTCAGTCTTTGCCTGATCTAATTAGTCAGAAACAGCTTATGACACTGTCCTTCACTAGAAACTGAGAGACATAGCACATCTACCTAATACATAGTCACAAACTCAAACAGGCAGCCAAAATGAGGAGACAAAGAAACAACCACTAATGAAAGAACGAGAGAATTATCTAGAAGAAGAGATAAATGAAATGGAGATAAGAAATTTATCTGATATAAAGTTCAGAATAATGATGGTAAAGATGCTCAACAGTATGAGAAAAGACATAGTAACTATGAAAACAGAAATAAAGAACATTATAGCACAAATAAAGAACACACTGGAAAGGACAGCAGAAATTGGAAGCTG